ATAATTTGTCAGGTAAACCTTTCCAAATTTGTCAGGTACACTTTTCGAAATAAGTTAGTTAAACTAAAAAAAAACCATGCAAAAAGATAACACAAAATAATGAGTTATGTCAACAAACATTTTTTTACAGTGTGGCTTACATACACATGTCTATACATACATATATACAAACATCATGTATACACGTGCCTACACCCATACTCGCATAAGTACACATAATAAAAAAAAAATAAAAAAAAATAAAAAAAATAAGTATCCCAGATATAAAGGGTAATATATAAACAAAAGTCCAGTCACGCATGAGGAAAACATTTACAGCAACAGTTTGCTTGCAAGTAAGTAAAGAGAGATATTTTGAAGGAACACAATGATGTGACAGATCTTAGAGACCCAGGCAGGCTATTCCAGTCTGGAGTAAGGGGAGGCTGCAGACCTGGAGCCGGCAGATATACGCCCCTGGCAGTTTTACGCCCCTGACAGTTTTACGCCCCTGTTGTTCCTGACGCGTCCAGTAGGGGGAGGCTGTACAGCGACACGAATTGAGTTATGTTAGTAAATATAATCTTCTTTCTTTTTTTTAAATTAAGAAATTTATTTATTTTGTGTTGCAAATGAAAGAATACAAGACATTAACAGTGAGAAAGAGAAAAAATAACAAAGGGGGACATCAAAAGAGATTGTGGCTACACAAATCAATTCAATTTTACATTTTGTCATAAAAAATTAAAGGTTTACAACAGACTCAATGATATTATTTATTTTAGAAACCTTTGAGTTTAAAGGTTTTGATATTTTCTTAAAAGAAGAAAAGGGGGACTTTATATCAGAGGAGAATATTCTTAAATCAGGATCATTGAATGGTTCTGTCTTTATGAAGATGAATCTTGCCCAGAAGACAAAGTAATAATACCGTATAATCAAGATTTTTATCGTTAGAATGAAAATCTGACAAAAAAATTATAGATTCTGTCATTTGTATGTTAAATAATCTGCTAAAGTTATTGTTGTTTAGCAATGATGCAACATTTAGCCTATTATTTATAAACGATTATTGGTATAGGTAGCCTAGATATCAATTCATTTCTATATCAATGGATGGGTCTATAATTTATTTCGAAAGACAAAAAGTTCTTGATGGTCAGGTTTATGTTCTATCTGGCTTAAACTTAGCTAACCACGTGTAGGTTTAGCTGCCCCTAGTCTTCTCACTTTAAAATTAATTTTCTTTTGTTGCCTGTCTTTAGCTTGCGTGAGATGGCCTCTTCTGGTAAGACCCTGTTTACTCCTTACATTAAAACATACTCCACATGGTTTCTGGGGCAACATTACAGTAGATATTGGAAATATATGAACTTGCTTTTTTACAGTCTATGGTGTGAACACACAAAAGACACATTTATAATAGGCATATTGTATACATGTATGTAAATCTCAAGTAAAGAGTTGAACTGCACACTCATTCAAATATTTTGATTATTTCCAACATCATTTCTTAAAATAGCTTACGGACTGAAATGTAGGGTATGTGCACTTAATGTGGGTTTTATCATACTCTGTCTTTACCAAATTCTTTTTAACTTGCATCTCATAAAGGTGTGTTTGCTTTAGCTATAAGAAAATGAAAATCTCTCTCTAAACTTAAACACCCATCTTTTTTTTACGACTTACAAAATAAACTTACAGAGACATACATGGACGTGGTTTTAATGTAATTTTCAATTTTCTCTGCACAGTCCATCATTGGTGGCCAAAAGAAATTAAAGTGGCTTGACACTTTTTTCACTATTGTTCCACCAACAATTATGCCGTTGTACATTGAAGATCAGGAGCAAATTGATGCAATCCACACACTGACATCAATTCTACACACACACACGATAAAATCACCATGGATGTCCTTTTAAAAAATAGTTAAAGAAGAGGGGCAAACCATAGGGGAGTCATGGAATTTTAGAAAAGGGATAAATTGTGTTTGTCTTCATAAAATGCTGTGTAGGACACTGTTTTGTAGCTGTATGACGACCAATAGAGAATAGTACAGCTAATCAAGGATCCATATGATTACACGGTACTGTATGTCTAATGGGCTAAATTTGGTTAATATCTAAATGTAACTATAAATTCACAACAACATATTTCACTCAGTCTTCCATATAACAACCTACGGTGAATAGGCCTATAACTGCAGTAGGTCATATACTTGTCATAACATAGTTGATCCAATTGTGTATTTTTAAATGTTCAATTCACAAAAACACATAGGCTTGTCTTCTGTAGGCTGAGTGAAGAGAGTTAAGCCCAACTGAATAGCTACAGACATTTTAATCCGTGCAGATCTACACTGTAACGTTTATATTTAAATGAACAAAACACACAAAAAATGTCTATGGACGGGTTATTAATGTGTAAGAGTCGATTTATATGTTATTTCGCAGTATATCCCCCTACTGGACGCATCAGGAACAACAGGGGCGTAAAACTGTCAGGGACGTAAAACTGCCAGGGGCGTATATCTGCCGGCTCCAGGTCTGCAGCCTCCCCATATAGCCAGTCTGAGGGGGCTTTGAATTTAAAGCTGAAGCTGAAACGTGTTGTGCAACACACGAGAATGAACCTCATTGGCTCTTGCTGAAGCTCAAACGTGCTGCATAACACGAGAATGAACCTCATTGGTTCTTGCAGAAGCTCAAACACGCTGCATAACACGAGAATGAACCTCATTCGTTCTTGCAGAAGCTCAAACATGCTGCATAACACATGAGAATTAACCTCATTGGTTCTTGCAGAAGCTCAAACACGCTGCATAACACGAGAATTAACCTCATTGGTTCTTGCAGAAGCTCAAACGCGCTGCGTAGCACATGAGAATTGAACCTCATTGGTTCTTGCAGAAGCTCAAACGCGCTGCATAACACGAGAATGAACCTCATTGGTTCTTGCTGAAGCTCAAACGTGCTGCGTAACACGAGAATGAACCTCATTGGTTCTTGCTGAAGCTCAAACGTGCTTCATATCACGAGAATGAACCTCATTGGTTCTTGCTGAAGCTCAAACGTGTTGCATAACACAAGAATGAACCTCATTGGTTCTTGCAAAAGCTCAAACGTGTTGCATAACACAAGAATGAACCTCATTGGCTCTTGCTGAAGCTCAAACGTGCTGCATAACACGAGAATGAACCTCATTGGCTCTTGCTGAAGCTCAAACGTGCTGCATAACACGAGAATGAACCTCATTGGTTCTTGCAGAAGCTCAAACGTGCTTCATATCACGAGAATGAACCTCATTGGTTCTTGCAGAAGCTCAAACGTGTTGCATAACACAAGAATGAACCTCATTGGCTCTTGCAGAAGCTCAAACGTGCTGTGTAACACATGACAATGAACCTCATTGGTTCTTGTGGTATCTCAAACGTGCTGCGTAACACGAGAATAAACCTCATTGGTTCATGCAGAAGCAGAAACTGAACACACATCTGTAAACTGTATCCAGTATAGACGGAGTCAGTGATTATAATGGGTTTATTTGCTTTTGACGTGACGCTCACATCCAGTGTAGGCAAACGTCAGCCGTAAAGCATCTAAACTCCAGTGGGCGGGGCCTGTGATGTGATGCTGTTAAACTATTCGTCGATGTCTTGCTCTGGAGGCAGTCATATGCAAATGTGTTTGCCCGTGTGTCGTCACAGATCCCGCAATATCAAAACGTGCCGTCTGTGGAGCTTGACTAAATAAATGCTTTAATGTTTAATGAGGAGGATATTTTAAGCTATAAAACTTGCAGATTGTTTTAATGGTCTTTGACCTCTTATGTCAATGTCAATGTCAAAAGATCAAGGCAAGTTGAATTGATCATTTCATGACCCCTTTAAATATCTCCAAAATATGTGTAAATGTATAAATTCTATTTAGAACAATTTCCTTTAATACAAAATGTGTTGCCATTTAGTGCACTGCTGAATGCAGTGCCATCAACTATAGACAAAAATGTAAATTGTTGTTTTATAATGCAAAAGTCATTATTCATTCCTTACCGATAGATAACACGAAACACACATCTGCATATCCAAACTGAATCACATACCTTGTTTCACTTTAACTCTGACAAAGCTTCAACACCATTCTCACGAAAACCCCATTGTACGTGTCATTGCCACAGCGAACAGAGAAACAAAACCACAAAAGTTTGGTTATCATCACACTATCAAAACCTACTGGAGGTGTCGTGTCTTTTCTTCTTAGCATGCAATTATGACAACTGACAACTTGAATTAAAATAAAACTGTTTGCTGAGGTTTTGAGCAGGGATTCAATTGTTTCTGCAGCACACATATTGAATCACATTCTTAGTTCCCTGCCCTGTTCCTCACAGCTCTTACTCTCTCCAAAGCATTATGGGAAGTGCATTTTTAAAGCTGAACAGACTAATATCAAGGCAGTTTACCCTGTTTGTGTAATTATTCAGCACTATTATGCACATTCAAAACTATTAATATTCTAAATTATTCACAACAAGGGTGCATGTCATGTGTTTGTCTCTGTAATTGCTGCAAGCAGCTGTACTTACTCTTCAGATCTTAATTTGTACATCAGTAGATGTATCTTAAAAAAAAACATTATTTAGTGTTGTCCTTAATATGAATGAACTGAATGATGCACATTTCCATGATCATAATCTGTTGTCAACCCTGCTTTCTGCTGGCACGGACATGACAGGAACGAGTTTGTCCTTTGTAAACCACACATACACCAGACCTTCACAGGTGTTGCATTATGGAGAGTTAAACTATTCACATGAACTGTTGCACAGTTGTTCAGTACTCAGCACAGACATTTTCAGCCATATAAAAAAGCCACCTTCCTCATCTCTTGGTTTAAAGAGTCGTTGTCGGATGGCTGAGCGACTGACTTTTCTGATCTTTTCCTCTCTTCATTGAGCTCCTAAAAAAATAGAAAATAAAATAGACCACAATATTCTCAGGTAATTTTAGGGGACATTTTGCCATTGGAGTATGGATTTAGTGAAACGCTGTTGTATTTCATCATCTGTTCTTCACTAGATCTACTAGATCATCTGAGGGATTTGACTGAATCAAGATGCTGCTGATCATTGAAGCTCTTCTCATTTTAGCAGCTCTAGGACAGGTAAGCTTGTGTTCTAGTATGAATATTACAGACATGAATACTGATGATGTGATCATTATGATTTCTGTTGCTGCAGGATCACAGCGCTGCTGCAGAACAGATATTTCCATTGGATATGGCACCGAATACAGTTGATGATCAATATGACGGTTGTAGAGAGAAAATGGCGAATCTGGTGAAGACTAAATATCTGGAGGACGAAATGTCTGACTCTGAATCTGAATTTACAATAGCTTGGAAATATGCTGAAAAGAAATACAAGCCACCAGGGGATAACTTGACAAAGAATCACTCAATTGCTATTTATGTGTACACAAGCTCCATTTTAAAGCTATATAAGCATTTCAATGATGCTGTTCGCAATGACAAGAAAAAATACAAAAACAAAACATTCGAATGGTATTCACTTCACTTTTTGTTAACAGACGCAATACAGATTCTGAAGAAAACACAAAAAGGATGCTATTCAACTTATCGTGGTACAAATGTTAAATTTAACAAGAAAGTTCTGAACAATGAGGTTCGTTTCGGCTCATTTTCTTCTTCCTCTTTGAATCGTAACAGAACAAGGTTTTTTGGAAATAAATCTTGTTTTGTAATCAAAACTTGTGAAGGTGCTGCTCTGACTAAATACTCTAAGCTTCCTCGTGAGAAAGAGGTGCTGATTCCTCCATATGAGAAGTTTAAAGTCACTGCTGTCAAGACAAGAAGAGATCAGAAAGATCTCTGGTGTGACACTGTGTTCACTTTAAAAAGCACTGGAGCAAGAAGTGACCTGAACTGTGCAGTGGCATTTAATAAACCATAACAAAGTACTACACTAATAGTACTATTCTAAATGTCATAATCATTTGTTAAAAAAAAAAAAAAGAGCGCATTGTCATCATCTTTCTTTAATTATTAAATTGTTTAAACTAATACTTTTTTAACTAACTGTGATTTTGTATATGTACATTTCTGAAATACATAACTTAGACAGTTACCTAAAAGATCACTCTAAATTGTAATGTGGACTCGTGCATTTTCTGTAAAGCTGCTTTGAAATGATGTGCATTGTGAAAAAAAGCACTATACAAATAAATGTGAATTGAATTGAATTACTATGAATCAATCATACTGAAAGTTCTGAACAAAGTGCTTTGAATTGATATGATTCAATCATCAGCTCCAACATCCCTTTGGTTTAGTTCATTAATACTTTGTCAGAAAACACAATTAACATAATTTCAACTAAATGAAATAAAGTCATTTTTAAGTGGCCTCAAAGTGATTTAATATGTCTCTAATTCATTTCTCCATTTAAACTTGCATCTTTTTGCATCACATTACTGAACATTTGTAGTGCTTTCTATATAACTGTCAGCAATAGCATATTGACTGAATGACTTTCTAAGGGCAATGCAGCTTGCAGCAATATTTTCAATATTTTAATATTATCAATACGCTAAAAAGTTTTTTGCTTCTTGTTGAACTTAATTGGTTTCAATTAACTTTGAACTTTTTGTTTATTATTTACATTTAAGGCAATATTTTTTACTTTAGTGATGTTGGAGTTTTTGTGGTTTTCATTGTGCAGAAGAGTGACGCTTGTGGTTTTGATGTGTTTGGCTTTACTAACACCATGACGCTTTATGAAATGAGCAATAGCTGCTAAAACCTGTGAAATGACGAGTCTCTTCTTAAGTGTTCATCCCTTTACATTCAGTCAAAAACTATGTTGCTAACTAGCAGAAAATGAAAAATATTCATTTCAGTTCAAAATCATTGAGAAATTGCATTTCTTTCAACAAAATATAGTTTGAATGGAATGATTATATTCATTTTATATTAAATGGGTGTAAATTTAATTACGTTCATTGAATAAAAAAAAAATAAGCTTGTGAAATATATGCAAGATTATGACAGAGATGATCTTAAGCAGAGATAAACTCTGCATGAGTTTGTCCTGCATGAAACCACAGGTCTTCACAAGGGTTGCATTATCAGATGAGCCTCATGCTTCATGATTATTTTATCTCTATAGTGCATGAAACCACAGGCCACAAGTGACAATCAATGATCTAAACCATTTAGATGACCTAGATGCATCACAAACACACACACACATTATCAGAGGTATGAAAAGGCACCTTCCTTGTGTGTTTGTTTGAAGAGTTGTTGTTGTCTGACTGTCAATGACTTTTCTGATCTTCTCTCGTCGTTGCTCCTGAAAAACAATGAAAAGAAACAGACAGAACCTGACAAAAAGAGACAACAGTATTTTCAGGTGAGTTTAGGGTTAAAGTACAAGGTCAATACCCACATGGCAATCCCACACGGTCGACACAGACCCTTTTCCCACGACCCACATGTCCCAAAGAATGATGGCCCTAGAGTGGCACAGATCTGGATTAAAGACAAAAGCCACAACTGGCCGGGTCTCAACCAATTACAAACCCATAACCCATAAAAAAATGCAAGAGAAACTCTGATCAGATAATTTTGTAGACTCTTTTGTGCTTATCTTCATCATGTAGTGCCCAGATTACATGATCCTAGAGTCTAATCTCTGATTAATTTGTTTAATTAAATCGCTAATTTCTCATGCCAGTACTGAGGAAGAGGATGCATATCCCTGAATCTGTTCCTGGTATAAAAACAGGATAAAACCATCAACAGGTATCCATCATCATCCCCACTAAGCAAAATGATGTCTAAAAGATGTATTTTCAACAAAAACAACAACTGCCGCAACAACTGTGTTTTACAAACACAGTGACCGCAGCCAAAGAAAAGATAACGCAAGGTTGGGGACCAAGAGCATAATCACATGGGTTAATGAGCTGATGAGTTGAATCAGGTGTGTTTGATTAGGGAGACAAAGAAAACGTACTCGGTTACTAACGTAACCTCGGTTCTCTCTAGAGAGGGAACGAGTACTGCGTAATAGCTTACGCTAGGGGAAAAACTCTTTTCCACGAGATATTGAAGCCAAAAATTATCCTTAATTTTTTATTAATGTAAAACGCTTTGCAGCAGCAAGCAGACATAGGCGAAACAGCTCGCGCGCCTATTGGTTGCTCTGCAGCAAATGCAGCAGCCTATCGAGAGAGACTCTGCGTGACGTAATGACCAATGGGGGCAATTGGCGCCCATATCGTCACGTCCCGCCAGAAGGGGCGTGGTCTCACCCTATAAATATGCTCGTTAGGCTGGTACAAGCTGGTTTTTATCGCTGAAGCGAACCAGAGCGTATTCCAAGCACGGCAAGATACGCAGTACTCGTTCCCTCTCTAGAGAGAACCGAGGTTACGTTAGTAACCGAGTACGTTCTCTTACGAGAGTATCTCTCGTACTGCGTAATAGCTTACGCTAGGGGAACACAATGCAACACGCCGTGCGTACAGGGATCCAACACCAAAGTCCCGGGGGCCGAAGCCCAGGGCTCATGTAGTGCATAAATAAACTCACATAGAGTGGAGGAAGAGAGGCTGGAAGCGTCATTCCCTATAAAAAAGCACCCAGCGGGGCTATCATATGACAATAAAACGCGCAGCCAGGGTGAAAGCTTTCAGCCTGATCTGGGTGGCCATACGTGTGTCAACACTCATGGGGCTGCAGTAAACTCAGCATCTGGGCCGCACAGCGGGGCAGATAGCACTGAATTTTAGACCGCCAAAAGCTTAGCTTGTAAGGCGGGTACCTCCAGGTTATAGTATTTTATAAATGTAGACGGCGAGGCCCAGCCCGCGGCCGTACAGATATCTTGCAGGGAAACCCCGCTCGACCACGCCCACGAAGAGGCCACGCCTCTCGTGGAGTGCGCTCTGACACCCAAGGGGCACTGTAGGCCCTTCGCAGAGTAAGCGAGCGCAATGGCATCCACTATCCATCTGGATAGGCTCTGTTTTGAGGCGGCGAGTCCCTTGGAACGCCCGCCAAACAAAACAAAAAGCTGCTCCGTCTGTCTGAAAACAGACGAGCGTGACACATAAGCTCTCAATGCCCTGACGGGGCAAAGGAGACTCGCATCCTCCTCCTCACTGAGAACCGGAAGGGCGGACAGGGAAATTACCTGGGCCCTGAACGGTGTATTGAGGGATTTCGGGACATACCCGTGCTTTGGTTTGAGAATGACCTTCGAGTCATTAGGCCCAAACTCCATACACGACGCGCTTACTGAAAGCGCCTGTAAGTCCCCTATGCGCTTCACTGAAGCGAGAGCCATGAGAAACACTATTTTGAACGACAGGTGTTTCATGTCCACCAGCTGGATTGGTTCGAACGGGGCGCCTTTCATGGCCTCCAGGACCGTGGAAAGGTCCCACGTCGGGACTGAAGGGGGCCTGGGAGGGTTCAGCCTCCGAGCTCCCCTAAGGAAATGCACGACTAAGTCGTTTTTTCCCAGCGACTGGCCAGACACCGGTTTTGCAAACGTTGCTATGGCCGCCACATATACTTTGAGCGTGGATGGGGTCCTGCCCTTATCCAGTAGCTCTTGAAGGAAGGAAAGCACTTCCGAAACCCCGCATTCCACAGGTGAAAAGCTCTGGGCTTGACACCATGCAGAGAAAACAGACCATTTCGAGGAGTAGAGCCGCCTGGTAGACGGAGTTTTCGTGGGACGCGATTAGGTCCACCTGTGCTCTGCCGAACGTTTTCCACAGCAGCTGGACCGTCTGCGGGTGCAGCGACCATTCCCCTGCTGGAACATTGTTCCTGGACAGTCTGTCTGGTCCCACATTCAGGTGACCAGGCACGTGCGCTGCTCTCAGTGAGAGCAGGTTGTGCTGAGCCCAGACCAGGAGGCGTTCCGTCAGCCTGTGAAGGTTTCGTGACCTGACGCCGCCCTGGCGATTTATGTATGCCACCACTTACATGTTGTCCGACCGGACCAAGACGTGGTGGCCTGTTATCTGGGGACAAAAACGCCGTAGCGCTTTGTCGACTGCTATCATCTCCAAGCAGTTTATGTGAAGGAGCTTTTCCCGTTCTGACCACAGGCCAGCTAGCGGTCTGCCCTCGAGCAGCGCTCCCCACCCCGAGGTGGAGGCGTCCGTAGACACCACCTTCACACTCGAAGCGGTCCCCAGACTCACCCCTGACTGATACCAGTCGGTTATTTTCCAAGGTTCCAGAGCTGAAACACACTGAAGGTCGACCCTGAGGCGAAACAGACCCGCTGTCCATGCCCTGGGTGGAACCCGCGCTTTCAGCCACATCTGCAGTGGGCGCATGCGGAGCAAGCCCAACTGGAGTACAGAGGCTGCTGAGGTCATCAGCCCCAGCATTTTCTGAAACCTTTTGAGCGGAACTATCGCGCCGTGGCGGAAGGATTTCGCGCCGCGCTGAATATTTAGCCCGCGCTCTGGTGACAGGCGTGCTGTCATGGACAGCGAGTCCAACACGGTACCCAGAAAGGAAATTTTCTGACTGGGAGACAGTGAGCTCTTCGCCCAAATGACTGTGAGGCCCAGCTCCTCGAGGTGCTCGAGTAATGCGGCCCTGTGTTCTATGAGCTCCTATCGTGATCGAGCTAGAATCAGCCAATCGTCCAAGTAGTTCAGGACTCGCATGCCCTGAAGTCTCAGGGGTGCGAGCGCCGCGTCCATGCACTTCGTAAATGTACGAGGTGCTAGGGACAGGCCGAACGGCAGGACTGTGTATTGATATGCCTGGCCCTCGAAGGCGAATCTCAAGAATCGCCTGTGATGGGACGCTATTTGTATTTGGAAATAGGCGTCTTTCAGATCTATTGACATAAACCAGTCCCCGTGGCGCACTTGCGCGAGGATTTTCCTGGTCGTAAGCATTCTGAACTGGCGCTTCACAAGCGCTCTGTTCAGCTGTCGCAGATCTAAAATGGGTCCGAGACCTCCATCTT